CAGACAGCTTTGACATTTTGCCTGTGTTTAGTGTTATTAAAACTTGCACAAAATTATAAAGTATATATGACTTACTAGGAAAGGATCCCACATCTGCTCTGTGCCTGTGGGGACCAGTTCCCCGTACCTCATGTCTGGTGCCAAATCTAAACAGTATCATTTCTCACAGATGCTCTTTGCACACAAGAGGAATATCAGAGGTACAATCCATGACAGAGCTGTATCCTCCCTCTGATGAGCTGAGAGAAAAAGGATTCTAGTTTGTTTCCTTCACAGAGTTTTTTCCTCTTTCAAAAGACAAAACATGTTTAGTAAATTGCCTCTTTACAGTGAAACAGTGTTAAAGTTGAAAGTTTGTTGGGTGGTTTGTTTGTTTTCCAGTTGAGGCTTTTAAGATGCAATGTTTTAGCATTGTTGTAGCATCCACAATAAATTACAGGCAGTCCTGAAAATCTCCAGTCTGCAAGATACAACAGAGATTCCCACTACTGCTCTGCTCTTGTAGGTCACTGTTTGGATCAATTCTTATGATAGACTTGTTTTATCTCAGTTATTCTTTTCATCTTCCATTTCTTTGCTGAGCAACTTTTCACTACACTTTTACGCAGCCAACATTTCTACTAGAAAAAAAAATCATAGTTCCAAAGTCATATTCCCATGACTTTTTGTCATTACTTTTAAGCCTGGTTGGTACATAAACACCAGTCTGCATATTATCATCAGAGCAAACGTTGTCTCAGAAATACCAGGACACAGATATTCATCATTTACACAGAAGAATATAAAATGACAGTACTGGTTTAAAGATAAGGCATATTGAAAGAACTTTTTGTGTGGCATTTTTATGTGATAATTAATTCTTAAAAGTCTGAGTTTTGGTCTTCATATAAATACATGGATGTTAATAGGCCGTGCATATAGACTTCCCTTGTTAAAATACCGATGAGATACCCCTAATGTTTATACATGTGTAAGTACAATTAATATTGCAACCCAACTGGAAACAAAATTGCTTTAGTTAACCAACCATTGTAAGGCAATCAAATGTGGTATCAAATGTAATTGTAGAAGACCCATTTGGGGAATAACAGCAATTACTTCATACAAAATTCTTCCTTCCTTCTTCCAGTCCATGTACAATTTTTTCATGCATCTTTATGCCAGAAAAATAACCGGACCATCACAAGTGTCAAACCCACCCCCTCTTTCACTCTGTAGTGTACATGAAATTCCAAAATGACAAGGCTGATTCATTTAGATATATGGTAACATGGTTTGTACCTCTGAGTTGTAACTGCTTTAATCTAAAAGCATTCAAGTAGGCTTAATTCCCCCAGATGTACATGCAGCAGGGAATTGGGCAACACCAATGGAATAGGAAACAGAGAATAGCATTTCTTATGTCTGAAGCTAAGCACTCTTGATTTACCTTCATAAACTTCACAAATGTTCTCTAAAGACCTAATAGCTTTCTAGCAGGTAAGTATTATTTTAGGGCCATAGATGCAAACTGCAGTTCAGATGTTTTAACCAACTTTGTTCTTAATCAGGAAACAACATATCACAATCCAATATTCCAACTCAGTATAAACTATGATTCTGTGAAACTGAAAGAAGGTAGATTTAGATTAGCTATTAGGATGAAATTCTTTCCTGTGAAGGTGGTGAGGCACTGACACAGGTTGCCCAGAGAAGTTGTGGATCTCCCATTCCTGGAAGTGTTCAAGGCCAGGTTCAATGGAGCTTTGAGCAACCTGGCCTAGTGGAAGGTGTCCCTACCCATGACAGGGGGATCAGACTCGATGAGCTTTAAGGTCACTTCCAACCCAAACCATTCTTTAATTCTATGATTTATCAAAAAGACAAAATTTAAATTTTCACTTTTCTTTTTCATTGCTTGGTCTTCTTGAAGTAGTTGGAATATAATATATTATAGAAATAAAAATGTTGGAAGAAAATGTACTTTCAAGTAAAATTGGATATAAGAAGGATTTTACTGGGGTGCTGCCACATTTTAATAGATGTGGATTTATATTTTTTTCAATAGTTTAGTCTTAACTATTTTTCTAAAGGACAAGCATATTTTCTCCTTTGCACAGATTGGACAATCTTTACATTAAATTATTAGCTGAAATAGCAAAAAAGAGGCTGTGGGACCAAATCTGGATCTTCAAAGGTTTTTTCCACTACTAGCTAATTTCAAAAGACTGTACCCGAGGATGCTGAATTTTTATTATACATTAACCTGAAAATAAATTCTTTAATGCTTACGTGCTTCTTTTGCTGTGAACTGTGCAATAAACACTCATATTTAGAATAAGATGTTAGTACAGGCACTCTGGCAGTCTTTTAATTGACACATTCCTTGTAGCTCTGTATAGACCTTGGTCTTATGGTCAGCCATCTTTGCCCTTCCTTTTTTGAATATGTTCCACTCAAACCAGCTCATAAGTACTTCACCAGGAGGAATGTTTGTGAAATTTTCTCCTTAAAACTCCATAGGCTATTATTTGGTTGCAATTTGACTGTCAAGGACATTGCTGATCACAAACTCATTAGAAACAGAAACAGCTTGTCCCATGAGTTTCTTTCTACAGTGACTCGTGCAACGCTGCTGGAAGGGCTTTCATCACCCAAAACAAAGTCCTGGATGAGAAATGAACCTCATACTGCATGATGCAGACCATTCATAATGCTATCAGAAGTACTTTAAGAACCCTCAACCGCAGAAAGTTTTACAGTCTATCTTCTATTTTCCATCACAGCCATTAGGAGAATGAATCTTCCAGTGAAAATTAAGTTTATCAGAAAGATCTGTGTGCAAACTAATTTGAGCAGGCATTTTCTAAAAAGTAGGCCAGAAGAGAAGAAAGATTACTTCTGCCAAAAATGGAACAAATTAAATTATAAGAGGTTTAATACATTTATTTGAAATTTAATTGCATAACCTAATGTCAAGGTTATTATATGGTGCACACGGTTCTCATCCAAATTCAAAACAGTAAAGTACAAGCTAGGTTTGCAGTTACTTTATTATAAATCCAACCACATTTGTTTTTTCAATACTGATCATAATGTTTGCCTGAGCCACAACATTAATATAAAATAACATTTCAAAATAATTTTGAGATGTCTCCTTGGCAATGAATACTGATAAAATCTGAAGCCTCTCTGGTATTACTGACTTCCACTGCAAAGAAAGGTTAAAAAGAAATCCAAAATCTGAGCCATTGTTGTTGACAGGATGCCAGAATGCACCATAGAAGCAAAATGACTAGAAAGAGATTCTGACTGTATTCACACAGTTCTGTGCTGAGCCCATCAAACCTGCAGGTTTTGTTTTCTATTCACAGGAGCGAGAGATTAGCAGAAAAGGTCACCGTAGCATTCTCATTATAACATCTCTATGGAATATGCTTTCTGTGGTTTACATGTATTAGAAGCTGTGCCTGTGCAGAGAACACACTCAAAAGCATTCAGGCTGTGTCCAGACCCTCTCTATACTCCTAAAGCCAGTCACTCCTATCTGAATTGTATGTCCTGATCTTAAGGGGGCTTTATCTGTTTTCAGATCTCCAAGTGCCTGAGTAACACTGGATCAGAATAGAAATTTGTGTTGCTTTTGTCTGGGGTAGAATTTATTTTCTTGCTGGAAACAGTGTTGATAATTTGAGGATTTTTTTATTTTTTTTTTTATTGCTGAGCCTTTTGCACAGCCAAGGCCTTTTCTTCATCTCACACTGCCCCACCAGTGAGGAGGCTGGGGGTGCACAGCTGACCCCGACTGACCCAAGAGATATTCCATATCATACGGCCTCATGCTCAGCATATAAAGCTGGGGAAAGAAGAAATGGGTGGGGCAAGGTGGGGGGGAGGATATTTAGAGTGATGTTTGTCTTCACAAGTCACCATTAAGTGCAAACAAGCCCTGCTTTCCTGAGGATGGCTGAACACCTGCCTACCCATGGGAAGTGGTGACGGAATTCCTTGTTTTGCTTGGCTTCTGTACATAGCTTTTTCTTTACTTATTAAACTGTCTTTATGTCAACCCGTGAATTTTCTCATTTTTACTCTTCCAATTCTCACCTCCATCCGGATGTGGTGGGAGCAAGCAAGAGGCTGTGCAGTCCTTACTTGCCAGCTGGGGTTAAATCATGACAACATTATAAAAAACAACTGTGCATTTAACTGTGTGCCACTATGATTCTAGTGGATGTGCAAACACAGTCTAGGTTTGTAGCAACATCATGTAAAAGCACTATCTGGTTTTTTTTCCAAAGGAACAGGTAATAAAGGTATAGTAAATAACTGACACTTAGCAGGGAACCATAGCCTAAAATTAAGAGGCTTATAATCATGTAGTACAATATTAATTTGGCTTGATTGGTAATAAAAAATAAATGTTGTATATTTTATAATCATGTCACTTGTTTTTCATTAAAGTCTGAAATGACTAAAGAAGATAATTTATTGTTTGACCAGGTTAGGAGCTCTTTCAGCTATACTAGAGTATTGAAGAAATGGTTATTAAAGTACAGAAAGGTATTCTAAAAAATAGTCTATGACTCCCAAGTCTAGTAGATAACCAAACCCTCTTGTATTAAACTTCTTCCTGCTTTTTTTTCGCCTCCACATAAGCAAAAGACAATTTGTAAAAATCTTTTCTACAATTCTGTTTCAGTGCTTAAAGCAGCACACTTTTAACTGATAGCAACCATCACTCAGATTTCTTCTCTGTAATCATTCCTTGTGTGTCAAAACAAACAGATGTCTTGTGTACAACTTCGAGCTACATCCCTGGGTCTGTGAAGCTCCCTATGAGCTTCTGAAGGGAAAAGTTCACTTTACTCTTTAGTTACCCTGACTGAGACTCTGTTTGCAGAATTAAATAAAATGTCTGTTATATAGAGGATATACAAACAACATATTTGTAAGAATATAGTTAACATTTCAAAGATGAAAAATCCATGAAGTTTAGAAGGAGAGAAACTGAAACTTACCCCAAACTCGTCCCTCCACTGATGCGATGCTTGGTACTTCTCTGCTTCTTTAGCAAGACGCTGAAGACAAAGAGAAAGAAAGCATAAATTTTAGTCTTTACTGATTCTTCACATAGCAAAGTCTTTCTTTTTTAATTTTTTCCTATACGTGTTTTCTCTATATAAATTATATATATCTACGCTTTTTTGCACTTACTTGAAAATTGTGTATATTTCAAAAAGGTGCACCACCTTACTTCAAAAATGTTATTTTCTGTATTATTTGCTTATTGAAGTACTATAATCATGCGTTATAAAACTTAAGACCCACTCCAATATCATTTAAGAAGTTCTAGTTAAGTTCAAAATCCACTGATATCCAGCTGGAAATACTTTCTCCTTACACACACCACCTTGCCTTATATATATTAATTTAATCTACCATCCAATGACAGGTACTTATTAGAATCTTAAAACACTGCATTATGGACATTTATTTCTCCATTATATCATTTAGCTTCAATTATAGAAACTACTGACAGCCCAGTGATTATTAGGGACCCATAAAAACTCAGTAATTTGGACTAGCTGGAGTCCAGTCTCATGGATTGAATTAGCAGCTGGAGAATAACAGGCATGCTCCCAGAGGGCATTTTTCCAATTTACATTAATTTGAATGAAATCCAGTCTGTCCACTTAAACCCCACAGGAAGCAAAGCACAGTGCACAAGAATAAATATATGATGCTTTTTCAAATCAATCTCTTGTACAGACACAACCACTGGGTTGGATGACATGTTCCTCCTTATACAACATCTGAAGTCTTTGAAAAAAAAGTTTTTTGGACATGCTCAGGAGAAGTTTACTATTTTGCATATAGAAGTTGCCAAGGTAATGCATGTTCTCCAGTTGAGCTGCATACAGCATTTCCCATGCCAACAGCCCTGGAGGCAAGCACCGATCCCGAAAGCAAGCCAGCTCACTCTGAAGAAGTAACTACCTGATGTGAATGTAGTTCATGTGGAATCAGCCATGTTCTAACTGTTGAGTGACTCACTTTTATAACTAAATTATTTTACAGCCCCCCCAAAAAAACCCAAAAAATTGTTTTTTAGGGAGTCATGGTCCCTTTGTAACAGACATAGGCTGACTATATCCACCAGATAAGTAGGGATGCAAACTCTTTACTGTGTAACAATAAGTTTATAACTCTTTACTGTGTAACAGTAAGTTTGATGATCCTTCTAATATTCAGACCAATTCCTGCACAAAATGAACTCGTGGTGTAAGTCACATTTTCAGTTGAGTCACCTTGTCAGTTCTTGCTAGCAACCAAAAGGAATATGACCAGAAAGTTCATATAAGCCAGAACCACAGAGATGCAGCAGTCAGAACCTCACCTCAGACCCATCCCAGATGGCAACTGCTGTATTACTTGATCCCCTGAGGGTAGTCCTTTTCCCCATTCTAACAACTACCAGGATGATACATTTCAGAAAGCAGAAGTTAGGGTCTTTTCCTTTTTTCAGGTTTGTAATCTTTCTATAAAAACAGAAAAACCTCAACAAACCCGTGTGCTCCCACAAAAGGTGTCTCCAATCAATTGTTTTATTGTCAATTCAAATGATTCTTAGCTAACAGAAAGGTATGAGCATTTTACAGGCATTGCCCTCTGGAAGTACCTCCACAGGAACCAAGTACCCCATTAATGAAAAAAACCCCTAACTTCATGCATTACAGTGGGAAAAAGCAACTTTTGCACTGTATAAGCATCTATAGTATTTTCAGGTTTTTTGTAATACACTAGAATAACTTTCTCCTTCTAATTTCTTCACTTAATCTAGCCAGTTCTGCATCTAAATTTGTATATCCTCTGATGAGTTCAAGTTGATTAAGTCATATTTCACCAGACTGTAGCTAAGCAAGATATAACACTTACTGCAAGTGTAAATAGCTGCAGTTAACCCTGTCCTCAGATTTCCCTCACACTCGTCTTCATTGCCTTAAGGTACCTAGATAACCACAAATGACAGCAGAACCCAAATGCATTAACTAATAGATCAATTATGAAGAAAAATATATACTGACCATTAACATTACTAGGAATTTTGCATGGAAAAACTGTGGCCAAGCTTGAAATTCCTCAGTTCTGTTGGTAGATTCCTCAGCATATCTGCACTATCAAATGAAAATGCTTAAAGCAAATTTAAAAAAAAAAAAAAAAGAAGTTGTTTTGGGATGTTTTTTGTCGTCTCAAATGCGGAAAGAAAATATTTCTCACAAAAGAGATATTGTATTCTTATTCTCCTGAAGAATTTTTCAGTAAAGTTTAAGTTAGAACCCATCCTAACTGCCTAAGCAACCTTGTAAAATAACACTACATGCAAGATCTACACCCTTTATACCTTAAAATAGCTCCCAAAATGAGAAGCTGTCATTTGAGTATGTGTACAGAGCTCTGTTAAAGGTACTCAAGCGCATACAAAAGTACAAGCAACCAGTTTAGAAAAAATAATAACCCATGAGAAAGCAGCTGTTCCTTGACTCCTAAAAAGCCAAAGCCAACACCCTACTGGAAGTATACATGACCACAAGCCTATGCACCCAGGCTCCAGCAACAGGATGAGATACCTTTTTGATTTCTTCATCACAGCTTAATGCATTTGCTCTACTGCATTTGCATTACTGCATTTTGCTCTATTGCCTAACAATCAATTTATTTTTTTTTTTTGTTCCAGCTATTAGATAAATTTTTCAAAATTTTAGCTGCAATATATCCAACAATTTAGCTGGAATGTACATTTAGAATGTACTTCCTAGTACCCTGCATCTGAGACACAATTAAAGTCTATCCAACTTAATATCAACCCCAGTATTGTTTTCCATGAAACAGGTCATCATTTGATCAACAACTCCTATAAATGCTACACGAGTTATTAGTAGTTAGTAGAATGGCTGTTAGCCAGGACTAGAGTAAATCTGTAAGTTGAGTGGTCGCAAGAAAAAGATATCTGATCTCTCAAAATGGGGATAAATATTGTATTTTCACTTTCTATTACTGCATCAGAACAATCCTGGGATTCTACAGCCATTTAAGTTGCATATGGAAAAACCATACAAAATCAGAGATCAGTCTACTACAGTAACCTGATTACCGAGCTCGTCTCCAGCAGAACACTCCTTAGCAACACTGATGTGCAGGCTATTACAAGGACACAGATCAGGCAGGGATTTAATTTTCAAGAAATGAGTGTTTTAAGATACAGGTGTTGCTGATACGAAGTCTGCATATGCAAAACCCCATATCACTCTATCCTGTGCAATATATTTTTAGGAAAGATAAGAGTATAAAATTTAAATAGATATAGACAGATATAGATACGTATAATGAAGCTAAGGTGTTTTCAGAAGATTTTCATTTCTGTGCAGGGAGAACATTGCTACTACAGCAACATGGAGCCTAATAACTGAGAATTCACCCTTCCACATAGAGAGCTTTGTTACAAGTCAGAGTAAGACATCAAGACTCTGGGGTTAAAAACAACCAGATGGTTAAACAAACTCAAGTTACCTGTGCCCTTTATTGTGACACAAGGGAGGATTAATTTCCCATCTCGCAAAGAAATCGTGCCTGCTTCCTTCTGAGGTATGCAAATGTCAGGTCTGGCCTTCTCTGTTTTGATGGAAGTGTCTCTGGAGAACACCAAGACAGAAGCTGCACAACAGCCAGCTGACACCTGGCACTTCCCATTCTCCCTCTCGTTACAATGAGGGTTTAATATGGCAACAGCTTCTTTAACACCATGACCCACTGCAGGTCCCTACAGGTTTCTCCAGCAAATACTAAAATACTGGAATTCAAATTTTTATGTGTAAGAAAATAAGAAGGAATGGCTTAAAACAAACATGAGAAACAATATTTCTGCATATTAGCTTTTAATCATTTCTTCCTCTGTGCCTGTGTATTGTGTGCTGTGAAGATGAAAGCTGTGAGATGTTTTCATGCCTTGAACGAAGCTCTATTTAACATCATCTTTTTGGATACAGAGCATCAAAACCAAAACAACACTAAAAAGGGAAAAAGGAACAAAACCAAGATGCAACAGAAACATTCTGGCTTAAATAACCCTACTTTGTACAGTCTGCTGGAGAACACAGATTCTCAGACTATGGCAGTGAATCTACTCTGAAGTAGTAAATTGAGAAATTGCGACCAGGAAGAGAAGGTTGCAAAGGCTAACAGAATGCTGTAGCAGCTATTCATGTGCCTTTGTAGGATGTCTGGCAGCTGTGACATGGTGCTTCTAAGTAAGGGATCAAAAGAGCTGATGCCAGATTTAGCCAGTGTGATTGACACAGTAGCTGATGTCAAATTTGCGTTTGTTTAATAATTTTCCTAGATTAAACAATTACATCTATCTCTTTATTTTTTTTTTAATTTTACCTTTTTTTTATTTTTTATTAATAATAACTGCTCTCTAATTTTCTAAACAGTGTGCAGGATGTATTATTTTCAGGAATTCTCAGAATACTTAGCTCATCAATAAAAAAAAAAAATATCCCTTGAAAGATAGTCACTGCCCACAAAAAAGTATTTTAAATCAAACTTTGAAAGTAGTCAAGAGTTACCTGTTACCTTCTACTAGATTTCCCTAAATCTTTCAAAGAGAACAGTTACCTTTAAAGGAAAGCAGCTACTGGAAACATAGATAAGATGCAAGTGTTGTTATTCACTCCATCAGCCTATGAACCTTTCTTTAACTTTTAAAGGGATTACAAAAGATTACATACACAAAAATAACAGAAAAGCAAAACAGCAAAAATAAAGACCCAAAGCCCAGCTGCCATCAATCCCAAACTGTCCATTTTAGAAGGTCTTGTCCCCCGTTTCCAAGTGCACTTTACCATCTCTGAAAGGCAGCCTTCGATGCAGCACAGACTGCAAGAGAGAGACACGAAGAATCTTTATCTGATCGGTAAAGATCAACTCCCTAGAAGGCCTATTCATCTTCCAGCCTTCAATTTTTTGCGTATATGTCATATTTTTATCTCTTCTAGCCAGCACAGGATTCTGTCAGCAA